AATAGGAGGAGGGCAATTATCTCATCCTCTTAGCCCATGTAGACTAGAAAACAAAAGTTAAATTATAAGTTTAGTACCTCCATGTTTACGTTTGTATCTAATAGAGTTCCTGAACTTGAAAATGTATTGAATTTTTAAGTTTGTGTCGAATAGACTTCTAAATTTTCAAAGTGTCAAATAAATTTCTAAATTTTCAATTTTATGTTGAATAAGTTCTTGACATATTCAAAAAAAAATTAAAGTTAACAAAAAATTTGAATTTTGTGTCTGTTAAGATGTTAAATTTTAAATTTAGTGTTTAATAAGAGGTTCAGGAATTTTAAAAAGAAATGTCAAATAAGTCAAGGACCTCTTAGACACAAATTGAACGTTTTGAAATCTATTAGACACAAGATTAAAAGTTTAGGAATCTAGTAGACACTTTTCAAAGTTCGGAGACCTATTAGATACTTATTAATATTCAATGACCTATTGGACACCAACCTAAAAGTTTACGGACTAAACTTATAATTTAACTTAAAAATTACATATAGTATTTATAATTTTAAAGTTTTCTTTATTTTGCCTCTCAAAATTTTTCGTATGAAAACAATTAATGGATAAATTCTCACACGTTTCTATAGATTTCTTTAAATACAAGGTTAAAGAAATATTTGAGGGAAATGTTGGAATCAAGTGAGTGGCAGTTGGAAAAACAAACGAAGAAGGTAAGATGGAAAAACTAGTTACAAAAGCAACTACCACTCACTTAATTTCATCTATTTCCTTTAATCTTGCATTTAAATAAATCTACTATAAGTATTAATGATGTTGAAACCAAACCCTAATGGAAGGTGTAAATTGATTCACTTGTAAAATGTAAGATTTTAATTGATATAATTATTAGTTTAGAGTTTTAATTAATTCAACCTACAAAAGTTTATAGGTATAAATACATTTTTTCCTTAAAAAAAGAACCTTCCGATCATCTGACAGATTTACGACAAAATATTAATACCAACCACATTTCTAAAACTATGTAGAGCTAAGCATTATAAGAATATTATAAGATCATATATGGATTAGAAATATCATTTTTTTTTTATCCCAGGTGATACTTGAAATTCCCAAAATTATAAAAGAAATTAAAATTCCCAAAAAACCTCAACATCTGGTCCGTAATACTGAGCTAGATTGACTGACTTAAGTCAACTAGTCAAAGTCAACTTTCGAACGGGTAAACTACGGTGACATGACTTTATGTAATCTCCAATTAAAATGTGCCACGTAAGCGTTGTTTCAGTCGATCCATATCATTCAGGAATTAACCAGCCACGTGAAGAGGGGATAATGGGAGTTTTGTTCAAAAAATATGCTTTATCCTTCTGAAAATTTCAATTATGCCCTTTACCTTTCGAATTGTTTCAAAAATATCCTTGAAGAACATTTAATTATATCGAGTGATGAAAAGTAACGTGTATGATGACGTGTTCACGGTGGAATAATGACTTACGTGGCTTTTAAAAGAACAACTAGTTACTCTACTGTTAATATATATCATCGACCATGTCACTTTCTGTAGCTCTTTCTAATAAAATTGTTCTTTAAGAGTATTTTTGAGACAAAGCTCAAAATTCAAGAGTTATGTCAGTTTGGCTTGGTCGACTCTAGTAGTTTGCTCGGGCGGTCTGGCCCAATTGACTTGACTCAAGCAATTTGGTCCGTGTTGTTTTCTTGGCCTGAAGTAAATTTAGTGTGATCCAACCTGCTCATCATAAAATTCTTTTGAGACGTGGACATGACATGTATGTGTTTCTATCCAAGATATTAAAAGATTAATTTAATGACTTATCAGTGTCATGATAATAAATTATATTATATCTTTTATGTACAGCCTAATTGAAATTTTTTTAGTACATTAGGTAAGAATTTCAAAATATTAAGGCCAAAATTGAGAATTCTCAAACATATTAGGAACCATTTTCATTTATTTAGCTATAAATTTTTAATGTTGTAATTTTATTTTTAATAAATCATCAAATTATTGTTAAAAACAAACATTTTATTATATCTGACTATCTCTAGACTCTAAACTAATTTAAATCACGAGTATGCCAACATGAGCATAGCTAGCAAGCATCTTACTCATTCCCTATAAATCGGAAGTTCTTCAATCTTTCATCCCTACATTTGTTGTACTCATAAAGAAAAATTAAAATCACAAGTATATATGTTAATTCTACGTAATCTAATCATGTTGATTGACCTCAGAGTAGTGAGTAACTCATTGATAACGAGAAGCCAACACAGCAGCATAGTTCAATAAGCTCAATGATACATGACATCTATTTCTTCTCTTCAAGTCGGAAGTTTTATTGTTGCATTGAAAAAACGACAACCACATCTACCCGATTTCTTAAAGCAGTTGGAAATAGAAATAGACTACTACGAAACCCTACAACATTGGGCAAAAATTGTCTTAGGTAAGTGGCCACACAAAATTTGAACCATTACCCAAGTCCCTCCCCAAGTCACATTGCCAGTTTTAGTAAAAATGAACAAAAATAGTTTTATTTATCATCTTTGGTAAATTAGTGATTAACAAATGATATACTTAGTTAGTAGTTTATAAGTTTAAACATAGGACCATGATTCACATAATGATATACTTAGTAACTTATTTATATGAAGCATACCCCATCAATAATGATTATCATTTTCTTTTTTGAAAAAATAATAATTACCATTTAATATATAGACTTGATTATTTGATAAGTGATCTTCCTTGATGGTTATAAAAGAAATTTAGTTCATACATTTTGGTAGTCGTGCTATTTAGTTTCTAAATTTTCAGTGAGGGTAAAGAGAATATTGGCAGTTTGTAGTTAAAGTATTATCAGGTTAGATATTAAAATTTGATGACAAAATCCTCAAAGTAAATTTGTAATATTTATATATATAGACAAAGTGGAAGAGTAAATTTATAATTTAACCATTTTTACTTAAAAAAGAAAAAGGAAAAAAATCCAAAAGGGTAAAAAATATGGTTTTGAGTGAGCGAATCGGTTGGATAAATTGAGTGGACAGAGATCCCATCTCGCTTCACTAGTTGCTGCAATTTGCGTCCGCCATGGCCAGGCCTTTCCCCTCCTTTTCGAATCCATTTTCATCGCCACATTTCTCATCGCTCCTCGCTTCAATCGCAGCCTTCTCAATTTTCTCACTCGTGATTTTCCTCTGCGCTTCGTCGAGAAAGTCGAAGAAATCATCGAACCGGATGCAGAGGAATCTCAATTTCGTCTCCAAAATCAACAGCAACATCAGTTCTAGGGCTGTGTCGATGGCGAAGATGGTCTCGTGGCGGAAGGTGGAGGCGGCCGATGAAGAAGAATTAGAAGAAAGAAGAAGAGGCGATTGCGATCTGATCAGTGATGATGACGATGAGGTTTGGAGGAAGACGATCATCAGAGGAGAACGGTGTCGTCCGCTCGAATTTTCCGGGAAAATTGATTACGATTCCGAAGGAAATCTTCTCGGCGATTCCAAAAGCGTTGCGTAGGGCGGTTTCGATTCTCTCTCTTTCTCTCTCCATCTTAATTCTTTCCCCTTTCTTCCTGGATTTTGGTTCCTTCCATTGATGCAACTTAATTCTACAGTTAACTGCAACCTTTGTTTTTTCTCCTTTTTATCCTTGCCCTGTTTTTTCATTTTCTTTATCTTCAATTTTGTGTTTGATAGGAATTTAAACCTTCGATTTTGTATTTATTAGGAAAATTAAATTTTCAATTCTTAGTGTATCACAAATTGATGCGTTTATCATCCCAGATCAAGTTTAGCAAAAACTGGTTAATCAATCTGTTAGAATCCATATAAATGAATTAAATTTATCCAATCCATCCACTTAAATTTTTGGATTGGGCGGTGGTTTGTTCATTCTTAAAATGGTCTCAGAATGGGAGGTTCTGTATTCGAATCATACGTTGTTGTTGTTCCTCCTTGTTGGGTCTTGATATTGTTTTACGTATGAAAGATGAACTCACAACCTTTAGATGGGGATATATATGAATTACAGTTGAGCCAATAATTTATATTAGATATAAAATTGAGAAATGATAGAACATATTTACAAAGCTGAATAATTTCTGGTAGTAAACTTGTCAATTTAAATGATTGTGAAACTATGGGCACATTGTTCTGGCCCTACCAAAATACTAATTTCTTATTTGGAGATGACAAAATTAAAGGTCCGTGAAATCTTTCTCCAGCCATCCTCGTTTAAGATGGAATTGGAGATTTTCTTTTTCTAGGAAGATGGGAAATGGTTTTCTATCCTCCCCACCCAACCCTAACTCAAATGGGGTGGATTATTTTTATTTAGAAATATAGGGGTGAGAATTTGAACTTCTGGACTCACTCAAAAGAGTTTGATAACCAAACTCTAACAAGAGAGAAACTACGAAGAGTGGTTGTAAAAATCTGAATTTGTTTCTTATATTAAAAATAGTTAGAGTGAAATATTTTGGGATTTTTACATCTACAGTAATCCTGAAGGTAGGAATAATCCTATTCATCTTTTCTACTTTCGGTGCGAACTTGGCAAACTAAAGTTCGCCAAGGTATAAGCTTCTGATGGCCAGTTCATATAGATTCTTGATTTCTGAGATTTAGATGTATTAAGAACTAAACTATATTCATGTCTTTTAGAGTTGGAAGGTCAGCTTTGGCTTAGTTTTCTATTATATATACTTATTTTTTTTTCTCTTCATTAATTTATTAATTAGAATATTGATATTGTAAAAAAATATTTATTCAAAATTAATAAATAATGAAAAATTAAATCGTTAAATTTTGGCATAAACATGTAATTTCAAATATATATAATTTAACGTTCATAAAATACATATAAATAGATAATGCACATTTTTTACTATAGAAACTTGATATTTGTTTGGGTTCCTCAAACTTACCCCTATAGCCTATAGGAAAGAAGGAAAAAAGAAGCACTTGTTTCTTATTTATAAACTAGATGGATAAAATTATAAACAAGATAAATAAATTTGTTTGTGTTTTAAAATTCACTAAAGTAGATTGATTTTTTAAAATTGTGTTTGGATTTTATATCCAAAGAGCATAAATTCTAAAAATAACTTTTATGTCTTCCGTATTTTCCTATTTTAAATTTGAAATTTTAAAATGCTAAATATCTTTAAAAAATAAAAATTATGATAAAATAAATATATTTTTCATATTATAAACTAATTTATTTTTTGCTAAAATTAAAAGAGGTAAAACATAATATATTATAAATTATATACTAGCTATTATAAAATAATAATTATACAAAATTTATAATATATGTTAATAATTAATCAATTAATAATAATTTACATTGAAGTAAATATTTAGTTGATAACTACCATTAACTTACAAATATATTACTAACCCACTTTGAACGATATCTAAACTGAGATTCAATTTTTAAATTTAGTATCAAACGATTTTTCATTAAATCATTTATTTTCAAATTTTTGTTTTTATATCACAAAACAAACATACCCTAAATTTGAGTCCTTTGAATTCACCTTTATCGAGCCGCCATAATTGGGCTAAATCTATACATATAGAGAGGAGCAAAGCTCAATGCATTGCTATTGCGTAGGACTGTCCTTCATTTGAACAAAGCTCACTCTTTTCTGCAAATATTTTATATTTAAGAAAGGATTATTATTTTAGAATTAAAAAAGACTACTGCTATCGCTATAAATCAATGCTAATTTAAACAAAATACTTAAAAAAGAAAATCAGGAAAAAGACAATGTAAATACGAAAAAAATTAGAACATGTGTAAATTAGTAAATACTGTAAATTATAGTTAATCAATATGTAGGTTAATAATTATATCTTGGTTCAACTTAATCATTGATTTATATGAATTAATAAATATTCAATTACGAGGGTGTGAGTTTGATTCTAACTCCACGTGTTGTACTAAAAAAAATGAATATTCGATGAAATAAAAATATTTTGATTACTAATATTATATTCAGGTTAATCAATGATTCATAAGTCTCCTACCAAAGAACATTTTTTCAATTATTATTAAAAAAAATAATGAGTTATTACATTTTTCCTTTTTCTTTTCTTTTTTCCTTTTTTTTTAACAAAAATACGTATTTACAACCTTTTAAAAAATAATAATAATAAGCTACCATTCAAATATCCTAAAGAGGAGTTCCATTACAAACAGGAAATTAGGGCTGGTACAATGATGATTTGAAAAAAAAAAACAAAAATAAATTGGTATTATTAAAAAACTTAATAATTAAAAATATAAAACAAATTTGTAGCTTAAATTCTCGACGGAATTACATAAATAAAATTTTTAAATATAGCAAAAAAATTTAAAACTTACCAAAATAACATAATTTAAATTAAATTAAATATAATGTAGAACACACATTGTTATATTTGAGAAGAAAAAAAAAGTTGTGACGATAAAAAATACATACTAAAGTCAAATTTCTAAATTCTATTGTTATTGCTGGTCAACATTTTCTCAATTGTTTCCAAAAAAAGAAAAAATATTTTCTAAAATCAATTATCTTAAATTGTAAAGATAACCTTCACATATTCAAAGCAAAAGATGTGTCCCCAACTATACTTTTTGATGTTTTATATTTCTTCACTTATTTATTTATTTATTTATTTATTTTGCCTTTTCTTCCTTGTATATCCATATTTATGTGTTCTTTATTTACTTTGACATTTTTTTCAACTATGATTATTATTTATTAAAACCTCTTTTTTAATTTTTTAATCAAAGTCAAAAATATATATATATATATATATATATATTTCTATTTTGTTAGTCAAATATATATAAATCCACCCCCACTCTTTATTTTTATTAAAATTATCTTTGACTAATTCTGGTCATCTCTTTATTTTATTTTCATGGAACTGAAGTTTTGATGAACTAACCGTTATAAACTATCTTTTAATCCTAAAAAATTCAAATTAAAATATTGTAATTGTCAAGATTTACTATTTTCCCGAAATTTCATTAAGATTTGAAAATTACATTTGAAAAAAAGGGGTCTAACGCAAAATCTAAACATTAGCCCAATTTTTAAATATATTTTGTAAAAAAAATTATTATGGCTAAGTTACAATTTAAGGCCCAAAGTTCATGCTTTGATTCATAATCCTTACATTTTTGTTAAATCTATCAAAATTTTCTCGACTTCTAGAAGATTTGAGTAAACTATATGGACGAAATTTGTAAACTTTTAAAACTATAAGAATTAAATTGAAACTAATTACAAATAATAAAAACTAGATTAAAAAACACTTTGGACCTACTTTCACATAAATTGTGATTTATCCCTAAACTTTAAAATCTAACGATTTAGTTGTATAGGAATTTTTTATTAGTGTAGATGGATATAAATCGACAAAATGTTATAAATTATATAAAATATATATATATACTAAATCATGATATTTTTCACTGATAAAGTTTATTAAAATAGTGACTAAAACATTATAAAATTTTAAATTAATTACCTATCAAGACAGGATAGTTACAAATTTTAAACTATCATTTTCATATCTTTATATGGACCAACTATGTTTAAATAAATGATAATTTAAAATACTTTATTAATTACAAATAGAAAGTATTTGTTATAAGGAACGTCTTTGTTATCAACACCATTAAATATTTAAAAATAAAAAGAGATAAATATAAAAATAAAAAGTGTTTTTTGAAGAAAAATAAATAAGTTTTAAAATATTTAATGGTGTAGAGCAAAGTTGGGTATTTTCCGTTACGAATTAATATAAAAATTTTAGATATAGTACTCTAGCTAATTGAAGTATATATAATCCATCCAGGAGTTATAAATTCGAATGATTATTCACTAAAAAAAAATCAAAAATGAAAAAGAGTGGCAAGAAACCGCACCTCACGCGCTTTACAAGTACTCGCTTGGGCCGTGCTCCGCAGCTGACCTTGGCCGCCGCGAAATCGGTCTGTGTCTCTGCCATACAAATTGAGGATCCTCTGGGCCACCTCCGCCTTATCCTCGCATTCGTTGAGGAGCCTGTCCATCTCCGCCGTCGGCAGCCGGAACTTGACCTGCAGCGGGGCGGCGGATGGTTCCGGCGGCCGAGCGACGTGGAGGTCGGAAATGGAGCGGCGAGAGAGCATCAGCCACTCGAGGCGGTCGGTGGCGGAGGCGTGGAGGCCGGATTGGACGCGGCGGAGCGGCGGCGCGTGGGCGGGGAGCGGCGGCAATTGGAGGAGGAAATAGAGGGCTTTGGGGTGGAGTTGGTGGTGGGGCTCCAATGGGGTGGCTCTGAGGCCCAGATTTCTGAGGGATTGGGATTCGAACAGCCGGTGGTCCGGATGCTGGCTTAGAACTTCTGAGGCTGTGATTGGAGTGGCTAATTTCATGGTTTCGCCGTCAATTTTCATCACTTTTGTTCTTCCTTTTCTTCTTCGTCCTCCTCCCATGGCGTTTCCCATTCTTCTTCTTTCTCTCTCCTTTTCTCTCTCTCTCCCCCCTTTGGGCTGTGGTTGGGGTTTAAAATTGTATATATACTTTTTCTAAATTATAAGTATTTAATGTCAGATATGTCACATCATTCTTAAATACGTAGACTAGAAGGTCGAACTCACAAATTCTTTGTTAAATATATATGTCAATTATCGTTGAGCTGTTTTGACTTGTTATAAAATGATATACTGACAAGTATTGAAAAGTTCTGACAAAACTTGTGACATGTCACGATCACCTTCGAGGAGACTCACAAGATGATTGTCCACCACTTGCTTCACCTGCAAGCAAGTTAGCTAATTCGAAACGAGACAATAGGTTTATCTCGTAACCTCCACTCCATTCTCAAGAAAACTAGGTTAGATAAAAGGTTTTGCAAAATATTTTAAAAAGCGTGTTCTTTGGAGAAAATAGCACCTAAACAAGCATACAACTCAAGTTAGAAAGGTGACTAGGTGTACTCTTATATAGAACATTGTAAGGTAAATTTAAGTCGACAGGCCTAAATCTCAAAGTGGCAATGAGTCACTCGCCTTAAAAAATAGAAGACGAACTAAATAACATGCAAAACTAAATACATGACATAAAAATAAGAGAAAATAGAGTGTTCATGCAACCACCATAGATAACAGGCGTTGAATGAACGTGACCATGACACAACATGCAAAGGAGGCATTAACGAAAATAAAAACGTTGTATAAAATAAAATGGTAAGAGATTGTTTTATTTTCACGTGATTGACAATGAATGAGAGTAGTATTCATATTGCCGTAATATGAAAATTTCTTCCAACCTAATCATCAACAAAATTCATCTCTTCCCAGTGACATACTCACAGGTCTTGATATGTTAATAAAACGATAATTTTATGACACATTAATTTTTTTTTGGTTAACAATTTTTAATTTTAAAAAAAAAATAAAGAAGAACCAAACTTGAAATTTTCAACACATTTAAGGGTAAAATTAATAATTCCAAAACATTAAGGACGAAAATGAGAATTGCCTAAAAGAATGAAGATGATTTGGTATATTTAGTTTAAATTTTATTTTAAACATGTAGTTAAGCCGTTCTCGGGGGAATCTTACCCTTCCACCTCCTAAGCAAGGTTTTAAACACGAAGTTCTCAATTTGTTAAAATGTCAGACAATATTTCTGAAAAATTATAAAAATAAAAATTCATTAATATTTTAAATTAACAAATAAACACCTCACTTTTTCAAATAAGTTTAAAATTATTAGTATTAATATCATATTTATATTAATGATATTTCAGAGATATTATTGGATCTTTTTTATGATCCACCCCTCATGTCGATGTCAATTCTACGGACATTTTTGTCCTCCAAAATTTAATACCTATCCTTCAAAGGGAGAGACTGATGGTTGAAGGATTAAATTTGAGGACAACGAGATATATTATATTGTTTTCATTATTTCGGATTGGACGTGGATGGAGTGACATTCTTAAGCTACAAGTTTATGTTAGAATATTTTATGTCCAAAGACTTTTCATATTTACTAGTAAATTTACTCGGCGAATTTATGCAGCCAACAAGTAGAATTTTGTTTACACACCTTATAACTCCAAAAATAACAATTTAGTCCATAAATTTTAGCCTATATAACAATTTAGTCCCTAACATGAAATATCATCAATTTTAACTATCAATTTTTATTATATAATGATTTAATATTTGTAATTTACAAGAACATTTAGTTCCTCATCAGTTTATCGATCTATATATATAAAACAAAAAATTTATTAAATCTTAACAACATTTTTCAGACTAAATCGTTACAAATTTTAAACTACAAAGACTAAAATGATTACATATTAAAGTTCAATAACTAAACTGTTACTTCAATGAAAATATATGAGTCAAAAAGTGTTCTTAAACCTAATTTTTTTAACTTCTATTGCTGTTTAATTTCGTTTAAACATATGTATATTAAATCTTCTTCTCTAAGTGGAAAATATGAACAGGTGCTTACTACTAACTACTAAGTAAACTAAGTTTTTTTTTTTTTTTGAATTGGAAATATTTGGTATCTAGAGTTACCTTGTAATAAAAGAATGATGCCTTTAATCACTAAAGTTTGACTACTAATTTGTTTATTCATTTTTCTAATTTGAAAAAAAAAAATCGAATGGTGAGATAATCATCTAGAATTTCTAAGTTTCAACATTGATTGAATAAGTTGGGAAATAAAATTAATATATTAAACTTTTTTTTTTACATCCATTGGTGGGTCGAGTCGGAGATCTTTTTTTTTCAAGATTTGAGGTATGTGCCTACTTGATCCTTAAAATTTCAAAATGAACACTTTTGGTCCTGAGGTTTGAGGTAGGTGTCTAGTTGGTATATGAAGTTTCAAAATGAACATTTTTAGTCACTGAGATTTAAAGTAGGTGTCAACTTGGTTCCTGAAGTTTTAAAATAAATACTTTTGGTCCCTGAAATTTGAGAAATAGTTCTAAATGGTCCTTTTTTTTACTGTTAATTAACTAATATTATAACGACGTGGCAAATTGCAATTAAATTGTTTATTGTAGTCTGTGATGTGACAAATTGTATTAATTAAATGATATATGTCCAGTATGAATGGCGGACAGCGGCAGCAAAGACGTGGTGGTCGCCGGAAAAGGGTAAGAGAAAGAGAGAGGAAAAGATGAGGAAAGGAGGGAGAAAGCACCATCACCTATTAGTTAATTAACAGGAAAAAAAGACCATTTAGAACTATTTCTCAAACTTCAGGGATCAAAAGTGTTCATTTTAAAACTTGAAGGACCAAGTTGACACCTACTTTAATCCTCAAGGATCAAAAGTGTTCATTTTGAAACTTCAGAGACCAATTAGACACCTATCTCATACCTCAAGGACCAAAAATGTTCATTTTAAAACTTCAGGGACCAAATAGACACCTACTTCAAACTTTAGGGACCAAAAAATGTATGTTGCCTTTTCTTATTTATCTAATTAATCCATTTTCTAGAATAGTTCAAATTTGTTTTCTAAAATTTAGCAAAATTTAGGACTTAGGAGTGCATTATTAATAAACATTTAAATATTCAAATAATAAGATTTTAGCTTAAGCTCCATTTTAAATTTAATCCGTGCCGTTAATACTAGGGTGTTAAATTTTCATCAACATATCAATATTTCCTTGACATTTTCATATATATATCGATATGAGGTATGGATCGACATTTTTATAGTATCCGAAAAGAATTGACAAAATATAAAGAATATCAACAAAAATATCACTAATATAGATTTAATATTGATAGAAATGATGATACCAATAGATATATTTAAATAAAAATAAAATTTCGTAACAAATATTTAAAATAACAAAACAAAATCACTCTTTTAGAATAAATTAAAATTTATTAAATATCACTAATATAGATTTAATATTGATATTTAATAAATTTTAATTTATTCTAAAAGAATGATTTTGTTTTGTTATTTTAAATATTTGTTACGAAATTTTATTTTTATTTAAATATATCTATTGGTATCATCATTTCTATCACTATCAACATTTAAATCTGATAATGCCAAAAAGTTTATTTGGACTTTTCTTTATTAATTCTAAAAGCTAACGATGATATTAATTTACTAATTTTATACTTATAATGGTCTTTTTCTAATTCTCCATAAACTATAACTGTTTATCTTATTATTTTGGAAGCTAACGTGATGTTAATTTATTTTTAAGAAAAGAAAGTCGACCATACGATTTTTTATTACTAGAAAAATTTTGCGTGCGTATTTAAAAACGAAAACTGTAGGTTTCTAAATATGATTTTTTTTTAATTTTAAAATTGAATTAAGAATTTAAGAACATTTTTAGTTTCACAGGTTCATTTTAATTCTAAGATATAAATATTATATTAATTCTTCAAAAGATGATTATCTGACTTTACAGTGATTGACCAAAATCACTTCAAAGTATGAAGTAGAAAAGTAATTATTTATGATATATAGAATCACTTTTTAGATATTGTATAACTAAATACATTTGTTATTATTTTTAAGAAAATATAACCAATTTCATAACTAAAAACCCTTTTATTATAAGTATTTTAAGAAAAAATATTCAAACTAAAAGGTAACCAAATGCATAAATCACATGCTCTATCGATTCCCCACATCCAATTGAATTTTTAAAACCTAAATAGATCTTTTCTAATTCAGTTCACTATTAATTAAAACCCACTGAATAATTAGATATTTTTTAAATTAATTAATTTACGCCCACTAAATTAATTTTCCTCCACGATAGATTTCAGCGTGTATGCAAGGACTAGGATGCTTTAAATTTTTATGCTTCAATGACGTCAAATTTATTAATTCAACTCTTTAGATTATTAGTACTAAAAAAAAATCTTTAGATGATTAATTATTTAGTGAAAAATTTATTTGACCTTTCACTAAATGATTTGGTTATTTTCAAATTCGACTCAGACAACCCGATCTCTCTCCCCCCTCAATAGAGGGGGCATGTGCACATTCAATCCAATCTCACAAGAGCGATTAGACAATCTCACAAGAGCGATTGGATACACTAAGATCAAGTCACGTGTTATCATCCTAATGATATATTTGCATCGAACAGTCCCACAGCGTCATAACAAATATACAAATATATCTATCGTAATCTATTCTTAGACCAATCACGTTATATATGTTACATAATGAATCTCTTGCATCAACGATATAACCCCAAAGCATAATCTCCAACCATATCAAAATATTATAAACTAGTAATCAAGTTGCTAAATAAGAGATAAACTAATTATACATAGATCCAAGTCACATACATTCAAGCTAATAAAAACTCAACATTCGATCACTCATTCTTCTATACAATACAAACGCATACTACATAAGCTCAAATTTTAAAACTAAACTTGGATTTAATTAAAATCATAAACCAAACATCTCCTAAAAGTTTTATTTTGGAAACGAAATAATTTCATTGATTGAATGAAATATGGGAGAGAATACAAAATGTGGGGAGAGAACCCGAATTGGGTCACAAAAAAGCTGTACAGCTGGAAGCCAATGTAGCAAAGCTATAATGATAAAAGAGGGGGAGCATTTACACCATGAAATAACCAAAAATACAATAGCCTCAAAAGATTGGTTGAGAGAATGCTCCTTGTCTTGGAAAATTCTCCGATTTCTCTCTGTCCATATAATCCAAAGGGTAGCACGAACAAAGTGAGTCCATAAGCAGCTTTTCTCTTTCTTGAAAGGATGACCGATGAGGGTAGAGGTCACGAACAGAGTCGGATCATGTGGGAGAACGACCGACCGACCAGTTAAAGAAGGAAAGGACTTTTTTCCACAGCCCCGTAGCAGCATATTCACATGAAATAAGAATGTGTCCAATAGACTCACTGTATCTTTTTACAAAGGACACACCAGTGAGGGGAGAGGTGCATGTATAGCATTCGTCGTGAAGCTTGTCGTGGGTATTCAAGGCGAGATGGCTTGCTTTCCAAAGAAAGAACCTTAATCTTTTTGGGATGGGAGGCTTTCCAAATATTCTTATGCAAATTGGACAAAGGTGAGGGTGCCGTGGACCGTTGTATGCCCTGCATCAGGAAGCTGGTGGAGAAACCTCTATTCGGGTCTAAGCGCCATAGAAGAAAATCCCTGGATGATGAAAGGTTGATAGGGGATAGAGCAAGTAGAAGGGCAGTGAACTCCTCAATCTCGGCATCTTTAAAGTTCCTTCTAAAGCGGATGTCCTAAGAGCAGCTTTCCAAGGACCAAAAGTTCCTCACAAAACCCTCTTTGTTGTTGTGTAAAGCAAGAGGGACAGAGAATGAGCAAGAAATGGGCTCGTTTTGGAGCCAAACATCCTTCCAGAACAGTGCAAGGGAGCCATCTCTCACTTTGATGGTGATTCGGTCTAAGATCAGATTGTTTTGTTTGGTGATATCTTTCCAAGGGCCCTTGGATGATAGAAGGAAACGGTTGTTGGCTGTTGACTGGAAGTTTATAAAATTTCCACGGGCCCTAAAAGTTTTATAAACTATTGATCAAGTTCCTAAATCTGAAGGGATAAACAAATTACACATGGATCCAAGTCACATAGATTGAAGCTAATAAAACCTCAACATTCTATAACTCTTTATATACATGCTACATAAACTCAAACTTCACAACTAAATTCGGATTAATTAAAAACTTGAACCAAACATCTCCTAATAAAATTATAAACTATTGATCAAGTTGCTAAATCTGAAGAGGTAAACAAATTATATATGTATCCAAGTCACATAGATTCAAGCTAATAAAAACTCAACATTCTATAACTCTTTCTTCCATATAATACAAACACATACTACATGAACTCAAACTTCACAACTAAGTTCGGATTAATTAAAACCGTGAAGGTGAACCAAACATCTCCTAAAAATTTTATAAACTATTGATCAAGTTGCTAAATCTGAAGGGGTAGTAAACAAATTATATATGTATCCGAGTCGCATAGATTCAATCTAATAAAAACTCAACATTCTATAACTCTTTCTTCCATATAATACAAAAACATACTACATAAGCCCAAACTTCACAACTAAACTTGGATTAATTAAAACCGTGAACCAAACATCTCTTAAAAATTCTATAAACTATTGATCAAGTTGCTAAATCTGAAGGGATAAACAAATTATACATGGATGCTGAAGTCACATAGATTCAATCTAATAAAAACTCAACATTCTATATAACTCATTATTCTATACAATACAAACAAAAGCTCAAACTTTACAACTAAACTCCTCAGAGTTTTAAACTACAGCAGATCGAAGGGTCACAGTGTTACCTTCACAAGAATTCAGAGGGTGAATTGGCATCAGGCTTCCCATTGTCATCCAACTCACCAGGATGTTGCAAATTCTGAAGAACTTGAGGAGGCAGAGCCCCCAATCCTCCACCCAATCCATCATTTGCCGAGCCAAAATACTGGCAAAGAAGCCTAGCAATTACCCCCAAAATCTGCATTTGATTCTGGAAAGCTTCAGCTTGCATCTGCATCATCTGCTTCTCATGTTCAATCTGCATTTCCACTATCCTTTCTCTCCATTCCATCTCTTCTTCCTCCATTTTCTCTTCCATTCTCATCCTCTTTCTTCTCTCCTCCTCAAATTCCCTCTCCATTCTCAACCTGTTCTCGAATTCCCTTTGCCTCCATGCCAACTCTCTCTCTTCCACCTCCAGCTCTATGTTCTCCAGTTGCTCTTCCTTCTCATTCATTAGTTTGTCATTCTTGAATTCTGCGTTCTTCGTCTTTTCTTCCCTTTCAGCCTCCTGTTTCTCTCTTCTGAATGCTCTCTCT